GTTGAACTGTTTATAAGAAGTTGTATGGATTCTTGACCAGTTGTATTCATATTTTAGCACAGCGGGTATGAACGGCTATCATAGAATTTTTGTTTCTCAATGTTTTATGATAAAGTTAAGCTGAATTATTCATTGAATTGCCTGCATCTAGCATCTTTCATTGATCCGTTAATTTTCATGGTTGGTTATTTATTCAATCATTTCCTTTTCACCTACAGGACAACAGCTTTAGGAATTTAAGATCTATTGTTCCTCCTCTAAAGAGACAAACTACGCACGAATTCCAAGGGTGGTAAAATGAAGATATTGTACTCTGAAGACCGACCGTCTTTGTCAGACGGCAGATGGCAGATCATAAAAGAATATTTACTGCATTGTCTTCCTGTTTGTGACTTACCAGTGCACCATATCATCTCGCGCATAAAGAAATCTTTTATCTTATTGAAAATAATTAATGACATTGGTATGATTAAATGATGTGCTGCCCGCTGGAAAAATAAAATGATGATTTAAAAAATCGAAAAAAGCTATGCGAAGCACAAGCATCGCGGTAATAGTAGGGAATACGATTCTGACAGCCAAAGTTTACCATTTAACAGATATGGACAAATTATGCAGCTCTACCTGACTCTTGTGATGTACTTCGACAACAGTGAGTGATTTCTAATTAAGTCTCGATATTCCTTTCTCTTCCATTACAATCTAGTCAATTCTCTTCTTGTCAGAGAGAGGCATATGCACGTTTGAAGTCCACCAGAAGTGTTGTTTAGTACTTTGTTGGCATCTGTGTTCCTTTCCGGTACCTGTTATAAGACAGAGTTGAGCTGTAGTGTCATGCATATGTCTAAATCCACCTTATTCGTCTCTCAAAATTGCTGCTTTCTTCTGTGTATCACGAATAATGTTGATGCTGCATGTGATGAAGAAAGATTTTAGCATTGGTGTAAAACCGTCTTCAGGCATGTTTATGCAACTACCCATACCTGTGGTCATGTACGTTGAAAACCGACTGGAAAGATTCTTGTCCCAAATACGAGTCAAAAATGAGGTTTCCTTGATGGAATTATGGCGTTACGAAATTCGACCAAGTTTGAAACACGGAAGTTTGAGGCATCATCAGTTGCAAGCCGTTGTTTTTTGTATCGAACGATCACAATTGAAATGTGATTAGTACGTATGATCTGATTTCGAAAGAAAGACTCTGAAGTATGCTGTTGTCACATTAATTTGGCAAGCGATTGAGAGACAGACTGTTGTTCAGGAAGTTCTGTTATATTCCGGAACCAACATAGCCATGCATTTGATTCAATCCGTACAACTCAACCGAAACAGACCTGTTGGGTTGTGCAATCGCTGGCGCTACACTATATCATACATTTTCAAAGCCAGCTGTTACTTTCAGTTTACGGAGACAGATCAGTTTCGGGACTCCTTTCCAATCATTCGAACCGCACTGAAGGGGCAAATTCAGTGGCCTTAATTTCATGCTGCGACCATACTTGGTTTTTGATATCGAGCCAGTAATTACGTGAAAATTTTTTTTGTTAATGAATTAAAATAATCGTCGCGTTTTTTGGTAGAGTTGTTCCAAGGATTCAGTAGCGGCTGTTTAAGTTATGCAAGAAATCGTCGCTTATTTATTTAAGTGTCTTTCTAGACAGCTAGACTGTTAACCAGTGACGAGCTACGATAACGTTCCACGTAATATCTTATAGTATAAGTGTCTTTTTTGTCTTGTGGGTACTGAACCAAGGTGTACAAACTTTAGAGTATTCTTAGCTTAATTCAAAACCGAGATTTGACAGGCACAAATAGTGTTACTAAATTTCCGCCAAGGAAGTTTTTTAAATCGCGTTTTAATTATAGATGTTCTCTCAGCTTCGGGATTATTTTTCGATTGTGTCCTTAATCAACGAAGGACGTTTGGCCGTTGACGAAAACAGCCATGAATTTGGAGCTCTTAGGCAGGTGTTGTTTTTGATCGAAATTTCCGTAGTGTTTACAGTGCATTCGCTTTTCAGAATCTTTTGGCCAGAGTTATCCGGAGGAACTGGATGGTACCCTTGATTGCAGTAGCATAGCCCTTACTTGCCGGTTCAACCGTTGGGGTTCGCTGCTGGCCGTTGGATGCAATGACGGACGGGTGCTGATTTTCGATTTTATCACTCGAGGCATCGTGAAAGCGATCGCTGCGCACGTACAGCCGGTCTGCAGCCTCAGGTAACGAATTTTTGTTTAGCTTATGATTTTCTTCATTAATTAATTTTATTCAGCAGTCATTAAAGTAAAGCCAAAATTCAAAATCGTCTATAAAAAATTAACTACTTTATTCTAAATAATCTTGTCATTGTATTTTATCCATTCATCACCCTCTCTCCATCAGTGTAACAGAAGCTTGTTGTTTTAGCATTTTCATGTACAATTATTTCCACCTGCATCGTTATCTAATATTGATGGATTCAGTGTGTTCCGCAGGAAAATTGTTACCCTAGGCAGTGTTTGCATCGTGGGCACTTAACAATGAACATTTGCTTAAAAACAAGGTTGTTAACGGAATGAGCTCTACAAAGTTTTTAAAAGATTGACATCGTAATGTTAATGGCGGGCGCCAATTTATCTGAAGAAACGTGCATCGGCTAATATATGAACGGGAGGAATAGTTTGCAACTGTGAAATGTTCCGTTATAAACCTACACAAGATCGATCGCAACGACGTAAAAGACATACCAACGTGACAGCACCCCTGCCGATCATCAGAGCGAATCCGTCGTCATGGCAGCTTTCAGCGCGACTTGTAGATAACTTTCAGTTTCGTTCGAGACAACGTTTTCCTCAGGTTGTTCTTAACCGCCAACGGGTCGGTCGGTTGAGCACTTAGTAGTTGTTTCGCTACCATGTATATGCATGACTTATGATAAGATATTATAATGAAATATTGTGGCATATGATATTATATCTTCGTATAGTTTATTTTTTGGATGGAGCGTTGCCTCATGTAAATTTTATTGAAATAAGATTCAACGTTACGAGTTTGAGACTCATTTTCGATGCAACATTATCAAGTAAAGCACACTTATAAATTTAGCTTATCGCACGATGGCACCTGGTTCAGCAGTTATCGGCTGACACACATCCGTGAATATGCAGATGTCAGTCACATCGACGCTTCTTACGAGCAGCTAGTTCCAGATGAATATAGCCTTTCTGACTTCCGTTGTTTAAAGTCTCTTTCCCAGCATACTTCATTATTGGTCAATCGATGACATGATCTACTGCATTTTTTTCGCATTCCGCGCTACATTTTTCACTTCTGTTCCTCCTTTTCCCTGCTCAGCCTGTGCTTTTTTCTGCCTTTCACATTTTTTACCTATCATATTACTATGGCATTCTGTCTTTTGCTTTTCGTGAAGTTTTCATTTCTTTTGTCTAAACTTCCCCTATTTGCAGTGAATTGAATATATGCAGCCTCGTTGTTGTTCATGCTCTTCTTTTATTTTAACATGGTTGAGCTCGATGCCAAGAGTTTACCGCTTTTATCCTAGTTAAATGCAGTCAATAGCTGATTGAGGTATTAGCTGTCATTTTTCAACTCCATTAGAATGGAAGTATGGAAGTAGAAGCCCTCAACGTCTTATCTCAGAGTAACCGAGGCTAGGAGGAGCACGTTGCTGGTATAATAACGTATTAGAATGAAATAGAATTATATGTCGATCTAATATAACATGCTGAATTTTCAGCTGGAGTCGCGATGGTTACAAACTGCTGACAGCCAGCACCGATAATACGGTAGCCATTTGGAACGTGCTGACCGGTGAGTGCGATCGACGCTTCCGTTTTGCTTCGCCCGTACTGAGCGTCCAGTTTCACCCTCGGAACAAGTGAGGAAGCGTTGCTTATCTCCTGAGTTTCAGGCTTTGTGACATCATGACCATTATGCTGTTCTTTTTAGGCGAAAGTTTTTGATCTGCCCTCTCAAGCACCCCGCGATTTTGGTCGACCTTGACGGTACCCATGCGTTTATCCCGACCGAGGACGAGCTATGTTCTGATTCTTATATGGTCGCGTCTTTCGATCGTCGCGGCCAGTACCTGATATCGGGAAACAGCAAGGGGAAGGTTAGTTTCGGTTTTTGTATGATTTTATGAGTCAACATGTTGAAGTCGCATGGGCAGCATGATCTTAAGCGCTTTTTAGCCTATACATTAATGGAGGGGTGTCCGTTTATTAAAGGTATGAATGTTCCTTACGGATGATTTTCTTGTGATGTACGACCGCTGTTCATCTTGGTTCGTATTGTCACGGAAATGCGCCTAAAACCGGATTGCTTCTTCCAGTTCATGTCCCTGCAGCTGAATAATACTTCAGCACTGATCTGTGTACTACGTACGTAGAAATTACTGACCGCAATCAGATGAACGCGATTTGCGCTAAGTTCTGCAGCAACCTGTATACTTCTAACCTAGGCATGAATTGGAAGTTGCCACACGTTGCCCCAGAAACCGTTTCGGAAATAACCTAGGACGAAATTGAGCAGGCGATCAGAGATAAAATGGCAAACGTCCGGGTAAAGGCTATATAAGACTTAAGCCCCTTGAAGCTGGAAGAATAATCCTGTTTATAGAGCTTGCCAAACGATTTACTGAATAAATGCATCAAGCAGACCAATACGCCTAAAGTATGGAAGGTATCAAGAAGAAATTTCGTTTGAAGAGGGGAGACAATGAAAACTTAAAGAACTATCGCCCATATGCGTTTCAGTTGCAGGTCTTATGTACTGTATGGTGTAATGCGTGCCTGGGAGTATGTATACATGTATGTATCGATTGGTCCTCTATGAGCCCAGGCATGCATGGTGCAAGCTGTTCTTTAAACTAATCAGTATATAAATTTTTTAAATTTTAAATGTATCATACACTTATTTTTATGCCTTGTAATTTTAGATCAATGTTTATTTGACGGATACGGTTCAAGTAGTGGCTTCTTTTCGTTTACCTAGCTGCCACTGTGTTCGGTCCATTGAAACGTCCAAGCGAGAACAGTACGTATTATAAAAGTTTTTCAGGCCGTGATTTAATTTTCGAGCAGATAGCCATTTGTCCATCAGTAATTCTATGTAAATTAGAGCAAGGGGATTCAAAAGTAGCAGATTTCTTTCTACATTTAAAACATCTGCCTGTGAGATGGACACTTTTTTAGGATTAAAAACGAAATGATAAAAGCTGTATACTGTCTACAATGTAAATAGAAGATGGTCTCTGATGATGGTCGTATATGATAGTAGAATGGATTTCTTGGACGACTTTTTGATATTTAATGCCTATTGTTTCACTGAGTAATATATTACCACACGTATGCTTGTCACAAATTCAGCTTCGACATCCGTGTCGCATAGAATGAGCAAAGTTTGATGGAGAGGTCACGTGCAAAAACAGTAAAGAGCAGTGTGTTTAGTCTAGCTGTAAAAACCGTAACGAATTCTGAAACTGCCTACTGAGACACTGGTGGTCGGGTTAACCTATTGAGGCCTTACATGAAAGCGTATCTGCCTAGTAGAGGAATACTCTGATTAAATGTTCAGACGAAAGAATGTGAATAGGTGCTTATTATGCTAACGGCGAAATGGTTTATCATGTTGTCCTTTCTTTGATCGGAGGAGGATGATTTTTCCTCTATATTGACTGAAGATCCGAACGGTGCATCATTGATGCTATGAAGAAAGGAAAAAAACGTTTATGTCCGTTTGAAATGTCAAGGACTAGGAAGCCTCATCATGTCGTTATCTCTGGATGTGGAATGACATATTTCATTGGCTTTTAGAACTGTTTCTTAAATTTCGCTGTCAGTCTGTCGTTCTGTGATTGTAAATCTTTTTCTGTTATTCAAGTACGGCACGTTTGATGTTTAGAGTTTTTAGGAATTTTCTATCGAATTCCAATGATAGGGTAATTCGCATCTTCGATCTCGAACAGGTGCTGAAGGCAGGCATCAACGGTGACCCAGAGCCGGTGCACAAACTGCAGGATCTGGTTAACAAGTACTGTTTCAGGCTTCGCCTAGGCTTTTACGTGTTCTGCTTGATTTACTCGCTTATGTAGAACCCCTTGGAAGGTCTGCTGTTTCTCGGGGGACAACGAATATGTTTGCGGTGGCAGCGCCCGTACCCACGCCGTATACATCTGGGAGAAGAATAGCGGCAGTTTGGTAAAAATTCTTCACGGCGTGAAGGGCGAACAACTGCTAGACCTGGTTTGGCACCCAGCTCGGCCGCTCGTCTGCTCTATATCGAATGGTATCGTATCCGTGTGGTCCCAAACCCATGTGGTACGTTTCTATCAACATAGTGAAGCTTATATTTTATCCTCTTTGAAAACTTATGTTGATCTTTGCCACCAAACGGTCGCATGCAAAATGGCGTCACTTCGTCTTTCGCTTCACTGGGAAATCTGAGACGGATATCGTTGAGACTGTTCATTATCATAGTCCCGGTGATCAGAGGAGACAGTGAATATATACACTTTTATAGTGCATGTATGTTAAACAAAATAAACATTTAGCATTTGATTTTTCTGTTGATGGATATACTGGAAACATCACAAAACGCGGTCTATTTATGGACAAATAGAGCAATTTGGTTAATTAGGCATTTCGGCCCATGTCTTACAGGCTTTCCTCAAGGTACACATGTGGACTTGCGTCGAGAGCGTTTTCACCGTTAGTCCTTCTGGCTTCAAACGTAATACCTGCTGCTATCGACATAAGGAATTTCAAACGTCGACCACCTCACTATCTTGAAGAAGACCCGTGATACATTGGTCGAAACATCGATACTGACCAACCGTCTGATTCATTGGCGTTTTATATAAATAAATTGTTTTAAGTTGTTTTCAGGCACTAATGAAAACATTGCATACATAAAACTTGATTAATTCGAAACTCATCTGAAATTAGAATTTTATTATAAATTTAAGACCAAATTAAGAAATTTTCTACACAAGCACATAAGTGATTCTAAAAACTTCATTTCGTAATTTTTGAAAAACTCAGAGCCGTGCTTATAAATTAACATATTCGGTTCTGAATAATTCGAAGTGAACTTTTAAAATGGTGATGCTCTCAAAATTGTACTGTGCAATGGAAGGGAAAATATGGATGATTCATGCTGTTACACTATTTACGTTATTCAAACACGTGTTGTAGTGTTTTGAATGGCAGTGGAGAAATCAGTCTTAGATAGTGGTCCTTACGTGTTTCGGATCTCAGTTGCACGGTGGACGCGTGACCAGTCTTCCGGCTAGTGTGCATCTCTTAAGAGCTGCCGCTGCCGTTGATAATCGTTTTGGTTCTACGAGTACAGGCTGAACCAACAACCAACTGTCTTTGTGGTACCTCTTTAAAATCCACTCTTTAGACATTCTTTTAATCAGATTT